TATGTGTGTGTGTGTGTGTGTGTGTGTGTGTGTGAGTGTGTGTGTATGTGTGAGTGTGTGTGTGTGTGTGTATGTGTGTGTGTGAGTGTGTGTGTGTGTGTATGGAATATTTTATTATTTAATTATTTTAAAGGAAAATAGGATCTAAGTATATACAGTTTAGGTTATATTTAGGCAGACCCCATGACAGAAAGGGCATTTTTATTCATATAAATAAATAAAAATAACGCATGTGAACATTGGGATTATATCATACATTTTATTTAATGTCAAAATATTAAATATTTACATTTTCCGTCTTTGTTTTGTTTCTGTAGGCACATTTAGTGACAGTTTTGATGCTGTAATCATAAGTTAACAGGTGTTACACTTCTTGTGTGTGATCATGTGATCTGAATCTGGCCAATCGCAGCTGCCAGAACACAACTCCCTATTTGTGTTTATATACAAATACAAATTTGACATAAATAAGATTTCGAACTAAATGGTGAGTGACCAGATAGATCTCTGAGCGATATCATAATTTATTGGAGTACAGTATTTTTTGGAGAAATAAAAAAGATAACATAAATAAACAAACATATAATGTCCAAATATACATAAGGGGAAAATAAAAAATGACTAACTCATTGCTAACGCTGAATACGGCAGCACCACGGAGAAGTCGGCCGACACTGACCTTATGAAAGCCCATTTCTGCCTCAGAATTGCAGTGATTGCGACTTTTTAATCAGAACTGCAAGATATAAACTCAGAATTATGGATTATAAACTTTTTGTTTTTCTATTCGTTGGCAGAAACGGCTTCCATACCACAGAGATGTCACAAATATCTCATAAGATTTTTTGTAAATTCACATATTTTTATCACCTGGGAACATTTTAAAATGGTTTCAAATAACATAATGTCACACAAAATCCTCGTTCTTGGATTTCACGTAGGTGAGATACTCGTGGCGTCTCGAGTGAACGTTCTCCTTAACGTAGAAAGTATATTAAGCCGATGTGTAACATAACTTATCAACACACTGTTCATATAAATTAGGGTTGTTGTGATCGAAATGACCAAACGCAGAAGTACAACAGAAAAAGCCAGCACAAACGAGCACCTTAGGGCCAGAAACACACTGTACGCAAGCACACGGATGCGAACGACTGACCCATAAACCACAGAAATCCTTCAAACGCCTCCGTCTGTGGCTGTCTGTGATGTTTCCATTAAAAAGATGCAAAACATTGAGATATCGCATAAAACATTTGAGAAAAACATGCTGTATCCATCCCTTGTGTTCAGGCAAACAGAATCTTAAACGGGCGCAAATGATCAGTAGCTACTAAAATAATAAACCGTTTGTAGTTTATGCACGTTCTCTAACCGAACAAAAAAAGTAGCCACCTCGATATGCTTTTAATGCACGTTTAAAGATTTCATGCACATCTTGCTGTTATAATATTTTATGCGCTTCTTGGCGTTTCCATCCAGCGTTTTTATGATACCCCAAAATGTTAGAGTTTTATGGGTTTCTTGGCGTTGTTTATGCGATACCCAATGTTTAAAGATTTCAGCCTTTTTTAAATGATACCCAAAAATTGTAAGATTTTCTGACTTCTTGGTGTTTCTATCCAGCGGTTTTTGTGATAGCACAATTTTAAGACTTTTATGCGCTTTTTGGCGTTTCCATCCAGCGTTTTTTATGTGACACCCCAAAACTTTGATGATTTTATTTTTAATTTTTATGCGTTTCTTGGCATTTCCATCCAGCGTTTTTTATGCAAAACCCCCCTTTTTTATTATATGCATTTTTTGGCATTTCCATCCAGCGTTTTTTTATGCGATATTCCAAAATTTTAAGATTTTTTTTTTTTACGCCCTTCTTTGGCGTTTCCATCCAGCGTTTTAATGCAAAATCCCAATTTTTTAATGCTTTCATGCATTTTTTGGCATTTCCATCCAGCAGTTTTTTTGTGTGATATTTTATGATTTTATGCATTTTTTGGCATTTCCATCCAGCAGTTTTTTATGTGATATTTTATGATTTTATGCATTTTTTGGCATTTCCATCCAGCAGTTTTTTATGTGATATTTTATGATTTTATGCATTTTTTGGCATTTCCATCCAGCAGTTTTTTATGTGATATTTTATGATTTTATGCATTTTTTGGCATTTCCATCCAGCAGTTTTTTATGTGATATTTTATGATTTTATGCATTTTTTGGCATTTCCATCCAGCAGTTTTTTATGTGATATTTTATGATTTTATGCATTTTTTGGCATTTCCATCCAGCAGTTTTTTATGTGATATTTTATGATTTTATGCATTTTTTGGCATTTCCATCCAGCAGTTTTTTTATGTGATATTTTATGATTTTATGCATTACTTGGCATTTCCATCCAGTGTTTTTTTTATTTTATTTGAAAACCCCATTTTTTAAAATTTTTTGCACTTCTTGATCTTTCCATCCAGCGTTTGTTATGTGATAATCCAAAATTTTTGGATTTTATGCAATTCTTGGCATTTCCATCCCACTTTTCTTATACGATACTGAATTATTATTTTTTATTTTTTATTTTATGCGTTTCTTGCCGTTTCCATCCAGCGTTTTATGCAAAAACACAATTTTTTATGCTTTTATGCACTTCTTGACGTTTCCATTCAACATTCTTTAGGTAATATGCCAAAAATCACTTTAGACACATGGATGGAAACATAGTGTTGTTATAAACGTCGTCCCCTGATTAACTTGCTCAGCAAGACTGCGTTCAAACTGTTGCTCAGCCTTGACCTGACAGAAAAACTAATAGTAGAAGACAAATTGCAATGTGATATTTTATGATTTTATGCATTTTTTGGCATTTCCATCCAGTGTTTATTTTATTTTATTTGAAAACCCCATTTTTTTACAATTTTATACACTTCTTGATCTTTCCATCCAGCGTTTGTTATGTGATAATCCAAAATTTTAGGATTTTATGCAATTCTTGGCATGTCCATCCCACTTTTCTTATACGATACTGAATTTTTTTACTGAAATATTTTGTGCATTTCTTGCCGTTTCCATCCAGCGTTTTATGCAAAAACACAATTTTTTATGCTTTTATGCACTTCTTGACGTTTCCATTCAACATTCTTTAGGTAATATGCCAAAAATCACTTTAGACACATGGATGGAAACATAGTGTTGTTATAAACGTCGTCCCCTGATTAACTTGCTCAGCAAGACTGCGTTCAAACTGTTGCTCAGCCTTGACCTGACAGAAAAACTAATAGTAGAAGACAAATTGCAGAACACAATGATGCACTAAATGGAGTTTGCATTGGCGTACTTGCGTAGAGTTTGTTTGGGGCCGGATGCACCTGAACACGAGCACCTGTATGTGAAGGAGGTAGAGCACCATCTAGAGAGTCCAGGTCGGCCTTTTCATCGTTTGCTAACAAGATCAACCTTGTCTGGCTCTTTATCTATTCAAGATCGAACGTACAATTCACAAGGACTCTGCCCGAGACTTTGTGCATGTTTGAATGGAAGAAAACAGAAACCACAACAGATAAAACACAACAGCAGTCTCTCAAAACACACGGATGGAGCGACGTCCCGGGCTGGAGACGCGCTCGTTCTTCAGGCGGGTTCTAGAGACGTCCCAGGACCGCAGCAGTCGCTCAGATCGCCGCTGCTCTGATTTGAGGATCAGGACCGTTTTTAGTCCTTCAGTGATTTCACAGGAAGCAAACAGGACCCACTTCCACGTGCCGCTGGTCTCCTGGACGCGAGGGATGGACACCTTGAATGTCCACGATGGGAAGCTGCTGAGTGTCCTGGGTTTGAAACAGGAATCGCGACTGGTGCCAGCTGCCGTCACGGATCTGTTCAGAAAAACAGGCAAACATCTAGATACATTTTCTGTAAAACTGTATAATCCAAATGGACGGAAATTTTATATGCAATTCAAATACATCAATCTTAACATTTTTCTGAGTGTATATTCAGAAAAAATGTAATATACCGGTAAATAAACAAGTGCTATAAACACTATAAACATGTATTTTTTAGACACTAGTCCTTTAAAATTAACGATATCCAGAACAGATTATTACAAATTATAGCGGCTTTCATTAGAAATTAATAATAATATTTCAATTTGATTACATTTTAAAAGATCAATTACATTGTTAAAGTTTTATGAATAAATTTCATTATTGTTGATGATGAATTTAAATCATTAAACACAACCTAAAAAAAAAAGACTGAAAACATCAAATTTGGGAAAAAATTAAACAGATTTCATGGGGCCCTAAATTAAAAGGTAGCTGACTTTTAAATTTACATTACATTCATTTTTGAGGTCTAACAAACATGTTGAATGCTTTTCCTTCCCGTTAATGGTATGAAATAAATATTGTAATTGATATCGAATGTTATAATATTTTTGGCCATATCGTCAGCAAGTCTGAATATGCACAAATACGAGATTTGAGAGCTGGTTTCTGGGCTAGTTCTCAAACAAAGCTATGATATGACTTCTAAAGACTAACTATAAAGTCATATTGAGTATTCTTATTTTCTTTATTGTGTTTTTTGGAGCTCGGCCGCAGCATCTTTTATCTCCCACAGAAGAGTCATAGCAGGAACGACATGAGAAAATGATGAATTTGAACCTTACAAGCCCAGAACTACTAACCACACTAAACCCAGTCCTGAATCACATTTACCCTGGTCCTTAAAGAGACAGTTCACCCAAAAATTAGCTGTTAATTTACTCACCCTCAGGCCATCCAAGATGTAGGTGACTTTTTTTCTTGAGTAGAACAGAAAAGCCGCCTTTTCAGCTGAAACCGTCTGATTCATAAAAGGCAAGTCAATGGAAACCGTCACTTTGAGAATAAAAAAAAAGCATATCAGGCAACACAAAGTGAATCCCCGTGGCTCCTGATGATATATTGAGGTCTTATGAAGAGAAACGATCAGTCTGTGCAAGAACCTGAATATTATTTACAACATTATTACCTGTAATCCAGAGCCCTCAGACAAACGGAGAAATCTGATTCTGATCTGATTCTTTCGAACAGTTCGTTTCAATGAACTGGTTCAATTCACTAGTTCATTTACGTAATCACGCAGTGATGTAAATTATGCGCGATTATATTATTAAAGCACCCAATAATAATGTGAAACGTGGATGTTTTACATGTCTAAAGCATATAAACAGAATAAACTAGCCTAGCTCACCTTTGTACGTAAACAATGAGAAACCCTAATAACATTAATTATTAAGTTCGGTTCACTCATGCTCATATCAGCGGCTCATTCAGTCCGAGTCGAACTGTTTCCTCAGTTCAGTGACTGGTGAATGATTCATTCATCACAGGATCAGATGCGCTGGTATTTCAGCTCATTTTGACTGAGTAACTTGTAGATCTGTGCTGCTTGAGCAACAAACTGTTTCAGATGATTCAGTCTAATTTGGTGAACGGATTCAACTAGTTCACCAAAAAGAACCGGTTCAAAAGAACCGATTCGTTTGTAAACCTCACTCATCACTCCGGACCGTTTGCCTGAGGCTCTGGATTACAGGTAATAATGTAAATAATGATCAGGTTCTTGCACAGACTGATTGTTTCGCTTCATAAGACCTCAATATATCATCAGGAGCCACAGGGATTCATTTTGTGTTGCATGATGTGATTTTTTTAGATTTTCAAACTGATATTAGCCACTGCATTTTGTGAATCACCGAGGACCACAGTTTCAGCTAGGAATCATCTTTACTGTTCTACTGAAGAAGAAAAGTCAGCTACATCTTGGTTGGCCTGAGGGAGAGTAAATCACCAGCTAATTTTCATTTCTGGGTGAACCGTCTCTTTAGTCCAGATTCGGCTCACCTCACAGTGGTCCAGAACCACACGTGGACTCAGAGGCGAGTTTTCCTCGAACACCTGACCGTTCCAACCCCAGAAACGCAGGGCCCGAGGCGTCTCCATGGTAACCGTCGCCGGGTCACTGTAGCAGTGGAGGGAAACGGTCTGGGTCGCCATGACGCTCAGCAAGTGTAAGAACTTCATCTGGACTTTCCCGACCTCAAACGCGGCCTGTGAAGTCAAACATCCGGCTTCTTAAACCCCGTGTTTAGATAATCAACATTTCTGCGTTTTGGCAACTGTAAGTTTGCGGTTGAAGCTGACAAATGATCAGACTTACAGGAAATCAGCTTTTAATTCAAATCAGATTTGCCTTTCAGAGGAAATGCGATATCGCTGCTTGACATCAAACACTCATTTATTTTCTCTTCAGTTTGCTCGTAACTGCATGAACCCGCTCGAATCCTGTTTGTACATCTGGACTCGTTTTTTAACTTTTACAGTTTAACCAAAGCTTCACGGAAATAATGCCATTAAATGACCAGAATTACCAAATAAAATGAGTTCATCATAAACACTGAATATCTTCACACAGCGACTTTACAAAATAAACTGTGTGCATTTAACAGTGTTATTTAAGTATTTTATTTTCTACATTTGTATTTTTATAATAATTTTAGTTGTGAGTAGTGGTCATTTTATTATTTTTGTCATTTTTTAAAAATATGTCTATAAAAAGATTTTAGTTTTAGTTACTTTAGCATTTCAAATGAAACTAAATGAAAATGAAAAAAGTTGAAATAAAATAAGTTTATTTTTTACATTTTATTTTATCGCAGCTAATGATATTGTTTTTTTATTTAAGTCATATTTTTATGATTTTAGTTTTAGTTATGAGAGTTTTAATTTAGTGTCATTGAGATACTGTTATATTTTATGTTTTCATTAAAAATTTTCTTGTTTTGTTTTTAGTAATTTTGTTTTTTTGTCTTTTTTTAGTGTGTGTGTGTGTATATATACACTCACCGGCCACTTTTTTAGGTACACCTGTTCAATTGCTTGGTAACACAAATTGCTAATCAGCCAACGGTAGTTTATATAAAAACCTAAACTTTAATCTAAATTAAAAGGCTAAAAGAAAAATTTCTTTCCCCCGCTTAATAACAATTTTTATGGAAGGACATATGTGACCCTGCCTGTGAAAACCCAGCTAAAGTCATTTTTTTTGTGATTTACTGTTTTCTACATAAAATCATCCTTCATAAAGATGTAGAACATTCTGTGGAAATATAACCTTTATATCTTTAATATTGACTGAGTAAGGCCATGTAAAAGATTGAAATCATAGTGAAATTAATGGTTGAAATCAAACTGTGATGCTTGTTATCTCATAATTAGATTTTGAGACTTTAGCCTGGATTTCACAGACAGGGTCACATATATTTCTTGAAACTTTTGGAATCATGAAATTAATCTTAGTTAATTAATTGAATATATCAATAATCCCAGATTCTCTTAATGAACACATTTTGAAAACAAGCTTTGTCATAATTGCTGCTAATTACTGTAAATATCTTAGCATATATTGGAGATATATATTGTATTGTACAACGAGGTACCTTCGAGGGTTATTATTATTATTAATATAATAATTAATTATTATAAAACAACAACAACAAAAACATTTTTCTGACTTGAAAAATAAACTTAAACTGAAATAAAATAATAAAATATAAAAAACCTAAACTTATTTTATTTCAGCTAGTTGCCAAGGCAATATTTCTCATTTTCATTTAATTTGTTGTACTAAAAGAATAAAAAATGAATAAAAACTATATAGATATATATATAAAAAAAAAAAACCCCAAAAAAACAACAACAAAAAAACTAAAACATTCATTCAAATTAAAATAAAAACCATAAATAAATAAAATTTATGTAAAAAAAAAACACTATCAACTATTAACTCTTTCCCCGCCAGCATTTTTTTAAAAAAGTTGCCAGCCACCTGCCAGCGATTTTGATGATTTTCACTAAAATTTGATGGCCTCCCGTATATTTTGCTGTATGAATATTTGAATATGCAATACACCAAAATCAAGATCAGAGCCTCTACTTTTAAACAAAAAAAATCAGTTTTATTCTAGCTTAAAGCAGTCTTTCAACACTTGAATATTGGCAGGTTTCATAAAAATGCATAATTTTGAGCAAAAAGGTGAGAAAATCACATTTTTATCAAAAACTACATCTGGATGATATTCAGTACGATTATCAAAGCATAAATCCAGTAAATCGCTTCCATCAACACCTCCTAAGCT